CCCAGCCGCGAGCTGAGCCTGCGGCGCGCCCGGGCGCCTCCATCATGGTTGGTGCCCGCAGAAACGGCTGGAGCCTGCCGGGGCTGGAGCTCCGGGGATGCCAGCCCCGCCCCCGGCTCCCGCTCTCGGGGCTGGTCGTCTGGGGCCGCCGCGCCCTCCCTCCTCCCCGCGGCGCTGTCCGCCGGAGGATTCCCTTTCTTTGCCCCAGATGCTTCCTAAACTCTTCCTCCCGGAAGAAAAAAACTGGCCTTTATCCCGAAGCCCTTTACAGCTCCCGTCCGTCCACAGGGTCCCGCCCACGTGCTTTCGTCCTGGTATCCACCGGTCACCACCTAACTGCGAACTTACTACTACGTGCCAGGAAGGCGCTCAGGTGATTGCTTACTTTGTATACATTTCCCGAGTGGAAGCGAACAGGTTGGGGAGTGTCCTCCCCAATCCTCTGTCCCTAGTGTGGAATGAGTAGAGGGAAGAAGTGCTTTCTGTGCGTGCCAAAGTGGACAGCCCTGCACTGAGTGGTTTAAAAGTGCATCTTAATTGCCGGAGCCAAGAAGTAGGCTTTGGAGAGTTTAGTTTTGCAAATATTTAGGCCTACAGTCAGTCCATTATTTTCCGAAAATAAGGATTACTAAAGACATTTGCTTGATGTGTCCGATCATCTGTTTAAAACGTGTGCCCCATCATCCATCGACCTTCAGAAGCCTTGTCCAGTGAGGGAGGTATCAAAAATCAAATTGTGGGCCCTCCCTGTTGGCGCAAGGGATTGGGACACAGCAATTGCAAGCGAGCCACAGCCGCTTACGTGAGAGTTCGATCCCCTGCCCCGGATGTGACCCACATGGCGAGGCAGACCTCTCCTGACCCGCCCGCTGCTCCCCTCAGCAGTGTACTTCTGCCATCTGCCTGTTCTGCTCCCCACTCTGTCTCTGGTGAAGCCTCTCACCACCCCTGCAACTCTGGCCTGTACCCCAGTTCTGTATGCATAAATAAATCAATTTTTTTAAAAAATCAAATTGTAAACATACCGAAAAGTGGAGGATACTAACCATTTTGTTCAGGCAAGTAGCCAATAGCCTGAACTTATTGATTGAATTGTCCCCAGAGTAGGAGAAATACTAACTGGTTGACCAACTTTGCTTCCAGTCTTGGCTCAAAAGCCACCTCCTTAGGCCTCACTAAAGAGCATCCTTATTCTGAATCCCCTTACTCTGTTCTGTTAAAGTTGTTACACTTACATGTTCTCAATTTTTTTTTTTTTTTGAATTTCTGGTGTAGCCTCAAGTACAACAGTAAGCTTACAAAGGACAGGGAATTATTCCTTTAACCCTAGTCCTGAGAATGGTGCCATACACAAGAGGTGTTCAGTAAGTATTTGTGCAGTGAAGGAATCTAATGGACTGAACGATTACGTGTTAAAATGTAGTGTGTGCTCTGCCCTAAAGAAAGTGTCTTTATTGGGAAAGCAAGAGAGGTTACTGGCAGGCTACTGAGGATGGAGAATAGATGCAGTTAAAAAAGTGGAAGTTGGCCCTCCCTGGTGGAGCAGCGGGTTAAAGCACTGCACTGAGAAGCTAAAGCCACTTTCGCATGAGTTCGATTCCCGCCTGCAGCCTGCCCCGGAGGAGACCACATGGCGAGGCAGACCTCTCCTGACCCCCCTGCTGCTCCCCTCAGCAGTGTACTTCGTAGATCTGCCTGTTCTGCTCCCCACTCTGTCTCTGGTGAGGCCTCTCCCCACCCCTGAGCTTCTGGCCTGTACCCCAATTCTGTATGCACAAATAAATCTAAAAAAAAAAAGTGGAAGTTGGGGCCCTCCTGGTGGCTCAGCACTAAGAAGCTAAAGCCACTTCAGCATGAGTTCGATCCCCACCCTGGAGGTGACTTACATGGTGGGGAGGGGGGCAGACTAATCCTGACGTTACCGCTGCTACCCTCAGCAGTTTACTTCATCACTCTGCCTGTTCTGCTCCCACTCTGTCTCTGGTGAATCCTTTCACCACCCCTGCACCTCTGGCCTGTTCCCCAGTTCTGTATGAATGAATAAATAAATCTTTAAAAAAAAAAGGTAACAACAAAAATAACAGTCATATAATAAGCTTTAAAAATGTATTAATGTTGTACTAAAATTTTAAAATAAGCTATTTTGTTGTGAGTTTAAAGTAAACTTATTGGTGAATCTAGTATCTTAATGAAAAATATTTTTAAATATTGTTAAAGTTGTGTTATTGCTAGTCATTTGGCTCTTTTGGAGTATAAAGGAAAGAAAACCAATTATTTTAGTATTCCTTCCAAAGAGTTGTGTCAGACTTCAAGTTAAATACCTATCAGGTTTCATTCTCTTCCTGGTTATGGAATCAAAGTCCTCTCGTCTATAGAGATTTGAAGTTTGAGACCATCATGGGTAGTGTATTTGTGCAGTATTTCTTTAAAAAAAATATTTGAATGCCATTTTTAAAAAACCCTCAAAACTGGGCCCCTCACCCCTCTCTTTTATTTTAAAGTTAGTCACTTTTTAAGACTGAGCGATTAGAATGCTTGGTTATGTATATTTGGGTTTTCCTGTACATAACTGATTTCCTTAGGCCTGTCACATAGGGGCAGGCAGGGTTATGTTTATCTTTCTAATTGAATTCTTTATAATTCAATTAGGATCATTGCTCACTCACTCTCATTCATTTGATAATACTGCTTTTCAGTCTTCTCATATATAGTTCCTGCTTATGAAAATGCTGTTAGTTTGACTTCTGCCTCTCCTCATCTGGAATTTTGCACAATTGTTCTAAGTAACTGTGTTCTCAGTTTCTACACCCACAGAACTTGGAAAAATAGATATTAAGTGATTTTTTAATCACTGGCTCTACATATACTTCAATAATTAATGTATCTGTAATAGGGCCATCAGCTAAAACAAATGAAAAGTGTGATTTCATTTGAAGCACAAAAGTAAGATCAGTGAGTATGTCTTTGCAATAAAATATATCAAGAAAAAGCCACTAGGGAATTATCCATGAGTATTAGGAAAAAGGTTATCAAAAAAGGCTAAAGGACTGTTTATTTGTACCGTTGGCAGGGCTTTGAGGGGCTCTTAAAAATTAAATGGTCTCTGGAGAAGAAAATCATATTTAATCATTAACTCAGAGAACTAAAGAGGCGAAAGAGGCTGTGTATGTTTTTGATTTTTTAACTTCCCCCTTCTGAGTAGTATGGGTCTTTGTGTAAACCATCCATAGTAAATATTAATGATCAACAATTTAGTAGGAGCAGCTGTTTCAGACTTTTAGCCAAATCATTGTTTTTTGATTTTTACGGAGGGAGAAAATGGCCTTAGTTAAATTACCTACTTAATACATGACAAAAGCTAGATCTGGCTCCAAGTCATACCGTACAGATCTGCAATAGAGATCTGAGGAGGGGAAAAGCAAGGAGTAGAAGGACAGTTTCAAGGGGGAGAACAAGCAAATGATGTCCAGATTGGGAAAGATGTCAGCCAGGGTCAGGATTGAATACGTACAGTTTTGGCACAAGGAAAGCATTGCTGACCTTTGAAGAAACCATTTCAGTGGTGTGTTCCATGCCAGGCAGATGTTTCATTGACTCTGAGGTATGGCACTGCCCTCCCAGGAATAAGGCCTGGCACAGGTGTACAGTAGTGCTGGGGAGTGTTGAGGCCTGTGTGTTGAGGCCTGTGTGTTCAGGGACTTCCCTTACGAGGGTTGCCATATTGAGGGGAATGATTGTAATACGCAGTTCTTATGAATATACTGGGTGGCAGTGTCAGAGGTGTCCATATTCTTTGTGAGTGACGAACATGACGTGGAGAAGACCGTGTTGGCTGAGGATGGCCAGGCAGTGCAAGGGCTGTCGTAAGAGAGGAATTACTGTGAATCTAGGAGATCTTCTCCACAAGCAACCAGGCACACAAATACACACAGGATTGGTTAATTAGTCAAAGTTCAGCACCCATCATGGAGCCAAAGGACTAGTGAGCAAGAGTGATGCGTGGTGGCTAAGAGTTCTTCAAAGTTTAGGGCACTTGAAGATACGGACTCTGGGTGCCTTGGTGTGGTGTAGTAACATACATCTGAAGAGGTGAGAACCTATACCCTGAATCATACATCGTGTTGCATGCCTAAGTCACCTCAAATAACAAAATACAATTAAAGAAAAAACAGTGATGAGGGAAGACACAGAGCTTTGGGTCTGGATCTCTCGTGTTTGAAAAAGGATGGGAGGGAGAGATACTGTGTTGCACTTTTATATTTTGTTTTTCAAAAAAAGAGAGCACAAAGGGGTTAAGTCTCAGGACTATGAAGCTATCACCAGCCACTGCAGCATGAGTTCCATCCCGCCAGGGAGGTGACCCACGTGGCTCAGCAGATCTCTCCTGTCTCACCCACTGTTCTCAGCAGTGTATTTCAGTATATCTGCCTGGCTGGTGAACCCTCTCACCCTCTGCCCCCGCACTTCTAGCCTACACCCCAGCTCTTGTATGCATAGATAAACAAATCTTTTTAAAATGCAGAGACATAGTTGGGTGAATGATATGGTGATGTCCCTGTGTTCCAGCAAGTGCTCATAGCCATTCTTACTTCAAATTTTCTCAACTCACCTCTCCGTTCACCATGGAGAAATTATTTTACATCACGTTTCCTGATTTTATTCTTTCTCAGGTTGTAAATCTAAAACATAAGGATCTTTTTCTAAATATAACCACAGTAACATCATTGTACTTTAAAAAGTTGACAGCATACCAGTGTCATCAAATACCCCTGGTGTTTTGTGTTGTAGACACTTTTTTTTTCTTTTTTTAAAGATTTATTTATTTATTCATACAGAACTGGGGTACAGGCAGAGATGCGGAGGGTGAGAGGCTTCACCAGAGACAGAGTGGGGAACAGAACAGGCAGATGGCCGAAGTACACTGCTGAGGGGAGCAGCGGGCGGGTCATGAGAGGTCTGCCGCGCTGTGTGGTTACCTCCAGGGCAGGCGGGAATCGAACTCATGCGGAAGTGGCTTAAGCTTCTTAGTGCTGTGCTTTAACCCGCTGTGCCACCAGCTTTTTTTTAATAATTGGTTTATTAAATCAATTCAAAGAATGATCCACCAATTTCATTGCTCTGTAGGCTTCTTTCTGTGTTTCCCTTTCTTTTTTCTCTTTCTATTTATTAGTTAAAGGGCCTGTGGCTTTATCTTCACATGTTCCACAACACTAAACATAGTCCCAGAGTTTCTACCTTGGGGAAAGAAGTAGTCCAGTGACTTTCAGCTTGCTTAGGAATCACAGATTCAGGGTCTCCCTGGTGGCGCAAGGGGTTGTCTCAGCACTGTCAGGTTATCACCAGCCACTGCAGCAGTAGTTCGAGCCCCTGTGACCCACATGGCACAGCAGACCTCTCCTGTCTTGCCCGCTGCTCCCCTCAGCAGTGTATTTCAGTAGATGTGCCTGTTCTGCTCCCCACTCTGTCTCTGGTGAGTGCTTTCAACCCCCACTTCCCATACCTCTGGCCTACATTGCAGTTTTTGTATGTATAAATAAATATTTTTTTAAAAGAGAATGCACGTGTTTTTAAGGTTTTAGTTGCTCACTGTCAAATTACACACAGAAGTGTTGTGCCTTTTTCTTTTTTCTTTTAATAGATGCAATCGTTACTTTTCTGTTTTCTTCCTTCCTGAAGGTTTTCTTAAATGTTTTCTTGGAGTCTTAAAAATGGAGATGACAGAAACAACAGGCATGTCTCTGAAACGTGGGTCCGTGGCTGTGGAAGATAATGACAGTGTGGCCTCAGCTGAGGAGGCAAAAAGACAGAAGATCTCTGAATGCTGCCTAACCAAAGGTCAAGACCGGCTAGAGAATGACTCTCTACCCAGCAGTGAAAAGGTACCCGGGCCACCTGAAGCTGTAAGTGCAGGAGAAGGTCGAAAGAATTCGAATGCTCAGTTGGAAGAAGAGGAAGAAGAGGAGGAAGATGGCCTTTCAGAGGAGGGTGAGGAGGAGGAGGAAGTTGAAAGCTTTGCTGATATGATGAAGCATGGACTAACTGAACTTGACGTAGGCATCACAAAGTTTGTAAGTTCTCATCAAGGATTCTCAGGAATCTTAAAAGAAAGGTAATGTTTTGTTTATGTGTGAAGTTGTTTAGTTAGGTTAGTTACTTTCTTTGGAAAGATCAGAAATACAGGCACAGCTGAACTCTTCCTGTGTTGCTGGTGGCTCCTCTTAGCAGTGTATTTCAATAAAGCTGCCATTTCTATTAAAAAAAGAAAGTTGGGGTCTCCCTGGGGGCTTAGGAGTTAAAGATACAGTACAGTCAAGCTATTGCTAGCCACTGCAACATGATCCCTGGCCGGAGAGGTGACCCACGTGGCTTACAGTCCTCTCCTGACCCGCCTGCTGCTCCTCTCAGCAGTGTATTTCATTTAAGTCCACCTGTTCTGCTCCCCACTCTGTCTCTGGTGAATCCTCTTGCACTTCTAGCCTGTACCCCATTTCTTATATGCATAAAAAATCTTAAACAGAAAGATATCAGTAGTATATTCTTTCATTTAGCTTTGTGTCCCTAAGGCTTCTTTACATTGATAGTCAAAAAGGAATAGAGGTAAAGGAGAGCTGCCTAAATCAAACCATTTAGACATAAAATGAGAAAAAAGAATTTTCCTGCATGCATTGTTAATATGTAAATGGTGTTGTTCATTTCTCTAAAATTACTTTTTTTTTTTGTTTTTAAATTATATATGTATACAAGAACTAGGACATAGACCAGGGTACAGGAGTGAGAGGATTCACAGAGAAAGAGGGGGAGGAGCAGAACTTGCTGAAACACACTGCTGAGGGGAACAGCAGTCAAGATAGGAGAGGTCTGCTGCGCCATGTGGGTCTGCTCTCTAGCCAGGATTTCTACTCATGCTGCAGTGTTGATATTGCTGACACATTAACCCCTGCACCATCAGGGAGGCCCTCTAAAATTATTTTAAATAGCTTCCGGTTTTTTTGTGGAATTTTTGTCTTGAAGTCATCAAGTCTTTCACCTGAATGTGCTACATCACAGAATTTAGGTGAATCTGGGTGTGAACCTGGCTTAACCACTACAGAGCAAGTTAATTATTCTGAACCTTATTAATCTCATCCCAAAAATTGGATCATAATAATATCACCAAGATTTTAAATAATGTGTGTATAGTAGTTAGCATAAGCTTTGGGATAGTCATAATAGATTTACTGAGTTAACATTTTATTAGCCATTTACTGTAATGTGTGTTTCACTATCAAACGATAGTATTAAGAAACCTCTATTTATGCATTTCTCTGGAAGAATGTCCTAGAAGCTCAGAGGATTTCTCTTTACATTCTGCTATAAAATTTGAGCCAAAGTGCGGGTACCATTGAGAAACCTGAAAAAAACTTCATGACTTAGTACTAAAAAAATTTTTTTAAAGATTTATTTACTTACATATACAGAGTTAGGGTACAGGCTAGCGGTGCAGGGCCAGTGAGATGATTCACCAGAGACAGAGTGGGGAGCAGAACAGGCAGATCAATGAAGTACACTGCTGAGGGGAGTAGCAGGCAGGTCAGGAGAGGTCTGTGGCACCATAGGGTCACCTCTGGGGCAGGCGGGGATCGAACTCATGTTGAAGTGGCTTTAGCTTCTTAGTGCTGTGCTTTAACCCACTGCGCCACCAGGGAGGGCTCTGGATTATTATTATTTCTTTTTAAGTCCTTGGTTTACACAATAGTAAGGACTACTTTCTGAAATTAACAGGAAACAGTGTATCAATGGCCTAAAAATTTGTGTGTTTTTTTTTAATCAGGTACTCTGACTTTGTTGTTCATGAAATAGGAAAAGATGGACAAATCAGCCACTTGGATGACTTGTCTGTCCCAGTGGATGACGAGGTAGGAACAGCTCTCCAACCAAAGCCACCTTCTGTATAAAAATAACATTTTCTAGAGGTTGTAGGAATACAGAGCTTTTACAGCCTGAACTCTATGAGTGTGACTCACTGGGGGTTCTTGTGGTTATTTTAAAGGATCCTTCAGAAGATGTATTTACGGTTTTGACAGCCGAAGAAAAGCAGCGTTTAGAAGAGCTCCAGCTTTTTAAAAATAAAGAAACGAGTGTTGCCATTGAGGTAAATAGTCCAAAAATATATGAAAATTCATTGCTGTTTCGGACTTTGCGTAGATACAAAACATTCGCTTTGCCCTATTTGATCTAAACAAGCAGTATGCTAACTAGTGTTTTTTATCATTGACAAATAATCAGCCAGATAAACTGGCCCAAAAAAAAAAATCTGTTGCTGATTTTTTTATTTGCCCACAAATCAATCCAAAGAATCTTTTATTTGGAACCACAGAATGACCATTTTATGACATAGCGTTGACCATAAAAAGACCACCACAGCCGGACCAACCTCTTGGTCTCAATTAGGGTCCAATTTGAGAGGGGAGGAATTATTTCTTCACTCAGCCTGTACCTAGTGCTTAAAGGGAGTGCTTAGCTACTAAGCACAGTAGTAAAAGTCTTCTTCTAAAGCTTGTTATTATGAAAACTATTTTTCTGAATTTGTGCTATTCAGTGGAATCATAACGTAAGCCATGTTTTTAAAAAATTTTAAATCTTCTAATAATGCAAATATAAAAAGAAAGATGAAATTTAATTTTTAAAATACTTTTAATGTACCCTAATACAAGTTACCATTTAAGTATAGAATCAGTATTTTGAAAATTACTGAGATGATTTACATCCCTTTCCCTCCTAAGTTTTCAGAATTCGGTGCTATTTTGCCTTTACAGCACATCTCAGTATAGAGTAGCCATATTTCAACTGCCGGGTTGCCACTGTGGCTGGTGACTACTACATGGGTTAGAACAGCTATAGGTAATGTCTGTAGCAGCACAAATGTGTTACAAGATTTTAAGAATATTCTAGCAACAGATTTTCGGAATTTCGTGTTAAATTCATTTCATTTTAACAAAGTACTAGATTCTGAATTGTCTGAAATTCCCCCTTTCATCACATCCAGTTATTAACAATTTAGTATAACTCTGCACAATTCATTATCTGCCTTCAATCTTCATCTCTTTCTCCTTATCAAAACTGCCCCCCAAAGTGTGTGATATTACTACTTAAAGGATCTACATTTACTGAACTTACACATAGACAAAATCTTAAGCAATGCCAAGGAAACAGTCCCTAAGAATTGTTCTGAGAACAGTCCGGGAGGCTGGTCCAGGTTCTCCTGTCTTACACAGTCCGGCAATGCATCTTAGCCTATAACATACATTTTCCTGCACAGATGGCAAGATTTACTGTTTTCCAAAAAGCTATACTTTGCCATCTACTGAAAGGTTTTACCTTTAAAGAGTATAAACCATTGATAAGTTTTCTGACTTGTAATGTGAGGACAAACTTTGTGAATCTTTGAGGTTTGAATATTTATTCGTTCATATAGACAGCTGTGATTCCAACTCACTGCTCTCAACAAATTCTGGATCTAGACTCTTTTTGATTTAACAAATTCTTTTGGTATTGCTAAGATATTGTTAAACTTAGCTAGGAGTAGTTACAGTACTTCTTGGTGTTTTTCAATTTGCAGGTTGTAATCAATTAGTTGGTCATGAAATCAGTTTAGTGGATTTAAACGTTTTGTTTGATGCAATAAGATAGAAAATAGCAGTGAATTGTGCATTATGAGAGCAAGTACTGCTTTGTAGATTTTTTCCTACAAAAAATATATAAAGGTGTGTGTGTGTGTGTTTCTGACTGCTGAATTGAGATGTGAAATGCACTCAAAAAATGAAAAATAGTCATGTACAGGTTTTCCTGCTACCCCAAAGTAGAATACTCCTATTTTGCATGATTTGGTAGGTTATTTTTAGGTCAGGGAATGCTATTACCACTAGTTGTTATAGAAAAACTTAAGCATTCCCAGGCCCAAAAAACATAACCTACGAAATCATTCCAAATAAGATTGCTCTATTTTGGGGTGGGAACAGGGGGAGATGTGTGTAACTAGTGAGTTTACAATTTCTTAATTTTTATTTTTCTCCTTTTTAACAACAAATGTAGTGGAACATCATTATAAAACAATTCAGTATAACATTCATTATAGGCAGTTGTAGTTTGAGCTCTTTGAGGGAATTGTGCTTCTGGCACATCAGAAGTGTCAGCTCCATTATATTTTTATCTCTGCACCCTGAGCTATTTGTCCAGTGGGATCTCTGAGAGGGAGCAGAGCCTCCGAGATTGGAGTGTCTGTATTGGGCGGCTCCAGAGTCAGTAGCCCGGATTTCAAATCTGGCCTTCCACACTTTAGCTGTGTAGTCTAAGACACAGTCCTTATTTCCCTGTTTTATTTTCTTCCTCTATAAAGAGATAACAATGGTGGCATGGCAAGGAGATGATGGGGATTAGATAAGATCACAGTGGGAAGTGTTTTACAATATACCTGACAGATGGACATGTTCAGAAAGCGGATTAAGATTTGCCATACTGTAAAGCTCTGAAAGGTTTCTAAAATCATGCCCATGTACTTCTGTCATTTCCCATAAAATGAGTTGTTTTTAATAACTTCTTAGTAGTATCATGCCCCCTTTTTTTAATGTTTATTAAAAACAATACGTTAACAGTATTATGATCTCTGTCTTTAATAGGTTGTCGAGGACACCAAAGAGAAAAGAACTGTCATCCATCAAGCTATCAAATCTCTATTTCCGGGATTAGAGACAAAAACAGAGGATAGAGAAGGGAAGAAATACATTGTAGCCTACCATGCAGCTGGAAAGAAGGCTTTGGCAAGTAAGTGTGTGCGTGACCCGGCATCCTCTCAGGCAGCGGTGAAAGTCAGACCCGCTCCTCATCCTCCTCGCCTGCTCATGCTCAAGGGCTGCCTCACAGCTGTCACCGAGGCTTCTGAGCAGCTAAATGATATTTCAGACACCAGAGCAATCCCGGACACTGGCGGGGGAGTCTGGTACTTGGTATGAGTACGGAGGTGCTGAGGTCACAGTGGTGCCTGAGCGAGATCCGCTCTGACACGCAGAGCCAGTGAGTAGCACTTCAAGAACACGGTGATGTTGCTTAATGAGGGAAAGAAAACTTTCAGATTAACCAAAAAATGTCACCTCTTCCAGTGGCATTTTTTTCTGCAAAGCCCCCATGTATTGAAAGAGTTGCTGCTTCCCACCCCTGTCGCCTTCATTCACACATGAAAAACATGCAATATATAGAATAACATTCCTGTGCCCAAACCTATTTTCTGTTGCATATCATTCATTTGCAGTGGACATGTTCTCAGTGAATCAGGTTGATGCTTCTGTTCTACTGTGTTTTCGATGGCCGTGGAAATTCCGATTTGTGTGTAACCAAAAGAGAAAAATTGGGGCTCATTCTTCTTTACCCGTCAGTTGAACAGATAAGATTATGATAAAATTAGAATAGGAAAAAGCTATTTCTTTGCCTTCTTTCCTTTCCAGTGATGGTTGCGATTAGAGAACAGTTATTTCTAGATGTATTTGTTAAAGCTATGAAAATTAAATAACACAAAGGAGTATTCACAGCATGAGGGCTGTCACTATTCTAGATTAATACTGTGAGTGAGTGAAGATTTAATTGTTTATAGCTATGCTTCTAGTGGAATGAGAGGGGAAAAGAAAAATAGGAGCAAAAGTGAGGCTTGCTGAGAAAATAATCTGATGAAATCAGTAAGTCTGGGCACGACACAGAAATGAGAAGTCTTGAGCAGTCAGGTAGCAGACCTCTCCTGTTTCACCCATTGCTCCCCTCAGCAGTATATTTCAGTAGATTCATCCTGTTCTGCTCCCCAATCTGTCTCTGGTAAATCCTCTCACCACGGGCACCTCTGGCCTGCACCCCAGTTCTTAGACACCTAAATAAATAAAAATAAATCTTTCAAAACAAACAAAAAAATTTGCAAGTAAGTTATTGACCTCCATGTGTGTGACATAGACCATGCGTCCCCATCTCCCGTTAGACATCTTTAGTAAAATACGAGCTTCCACTTTAAAAGGCAGGTCAGAGTGGGCTGATACTGGACAGGCATGTAAACCTCTTGAGGTGTTGTGGCGCCTTGTCAGTGACGAACTCGCTGCCCTCTGAATTGCTCCCCCCACCCCCACTGCACAGACCCAGACAGATACTCGAGGGCCTGCATTCCTTTATGGTTCTGGCTTCCCACCTGCCAGCTGAGCGTAGCTAAATGCTATTGGAAAAGTAGGGGGAATTGGTGCTCAGGGACTTGATTGTGGCCCTGAAATTAGACCTCAATGTGGGCTACCTTGCCTGGCACTTGAATGAATTAACTTTTAAAGCTTCACTGCAAAAAAAACAAAAAACAACAAAACAACAAAACATTTCATTTCAAAACTAAGTTGATCAAGTTTCTGGAGTATCTTTACTACGAAACCCTGGTACAAATAGTTACTGCTGGGTTATGTATGACCTAGCACTTGTGCAATACTTCTTACCTAATCTTTTCTCAAAAATAAACCATGCATCCTAAAACATAGGCATGATAGAGTCAAATTCATAGTGCCCAGACACCACAACTTAACCAACTGTTTTAACTCAGTGGTAATTTTGTGTGCCAAGTTGGTCTAAAGGACAAATGTAGTATTGTGACTCACCTAATGGTTATGTATTTGGACTTCATCCCTGGTTCTAGCAGAGAGCTTGTAAAACCCTTGGGATTACCTAGGTGAGGAACGGGGTAAAGGTGTATTTTGTTACATGCATGTGGAAATGTTTTGGTTGCAGGTAAGAATGAGGGCTGGCTGCCAGGAGAGCCACAGATTTGATTAAAAGGTTGGAATTTGTAGTCCCACCACTCTGACCTCAGGAGAATGAGAAGGGGCTGGAGGTTAAATCACTTGCCAGACACCAAATAATTTAATCAAACCATGCCTTTGTAATGAGACCTCTGAAAAATCCCTGAGTCTAGAGAGCTTCCAGGTGGTGAACACACGGAGATGTGTGATCAGCTTGGAGAGGGTGCGGAAGCAATTCGACCTTTCCCACTCCATCCCCTGTCCATGTCCATCCAGCAGCTCAGGAATTCTATCCTTTTAGAATAAGCTGGTAATCCTGTAAGTAAAAATGTATCTGAGTTCTGTGAGCCACTCTGGCAAATTAATTGAACTCAAGGAAGAAACATGGCACTTCAGATTTATAGCCAGTTGGTGGGAAGTGCAGGTCACCATATGGACTTAGGACCGGCATCTACGATGGGATGTGACTTTGGTCTTGGGAGGTTAAATCCTTGACCAGTGGGATCTGATGCTCTTTTCAAGTAGATAGTGTCAGAATTGAGCTGAATTGTAGGACACGCAGCTGCCTTCCCAAGGATTGCCTGCTAATGTGGGCAGACCACACACATGTTAAAATTGAGTACTCATTTAACAGGGAGTGTTGGTTGACTTACCAAAGTGTACGTATGGGATTTTTCTCAAAGTATCATGTTATTATTATAAAGTATGTAATCAGGTAAATTGATTTACATTTTGAGATAGTGTATGTTCCAGATTATTACTCATTCCAAATTATTCTAGGAATTTACTTTGTAAAGACTTGAGTAAACAAAAATTCTGCCCTGTGATATTTTTTGAAATGAATAATTCCCAAAAGGGGCACCTAGATCTAGGAATTCACAGAGACTTTTGGAGGAAGAGCCAGACAGATAAAAAGGAAATTGGGAGAAATCAGTGTTATGGAATCCATGGGAGAAGGGAAGTCCAGTAATCCAAGTGGCTAGCTGTGGGCATTTTTGTAGATAGGTCTAGCAAGATAAAAATTCTGAAACATGCCTGTCAGTTTAGTGAGACTGATAAGGAAAGAAAAGAGGTGTGGAGAGTAAAGGTAGAAATTCCAGGAGGAGAGTGATACGGATGGAGCAAGATCCCTGAGGAAGCTACAAGGCTGTTGTGTGTACAGGAGTGCAGTGAAATCACCTGGAATAAGAAGGAAAAATTTTCTGCATGTTCCCTCATCCTGTCATCCTCTCAAGCCATGCACATTTTCCTTCCTTATTCGGGAGAGCTCTGCTCATATGTGAATCTTCCTGAACATGGTTTTGTCTTTGATCTGTTTTCCATTTCTGAAAGATTGCAGTTGTCATATTGTATCCTGCGAAGAATACTCTCCAGTCCCCCAGCCTGATACTTCTTTGCATTCACATTTTAACTCAGAGCATTTAAAAATGTCTGAAAGTTATTTTAAATTCACTTAAATTGCAAAGTTGAATGTATGCTACTTAACATTCTTAGGAGTTGGGGGTTTATAACATCAAACAACTTGCCCAAAATAAATTAAGACTTACTGATTTTTCTTTTACTCAAAATATTCCTAGTTAAATCAATGCATATTCTTTCTATTCTGTATACTGAGCACACTTAAGTAAAAGTGAGTTTTTGCAGAGGAGATAATGGTATGCATGCTCACTGCTTGGAATTGCTAATAAAAGATGCATGCTTTGTAAGCCAAAACTCATATTCAGTTGTCATAGTTTCTCTTAAAGTAAAACAGCATTCAGTTTTTTAGTTTTGCAACTTCACTTATTTCTTGGCCATTATAGTTAATTGTGAATGTGCTGATTGACAGTTAAGGAAAAATACAGCTACAGTTCATCAACTTTTATCACAAGTATTTTTTTAACTTTTTATGGTGGCATTTACAAATAAGCACACAAAAATAAGGAAATAGTAGATTAAACCCCTGTGTACCCATCAACCATCTTCGAGGTTGTCAACATTTTTTTGTTGTTGTTTGATTTGCTCCTCTTAATTTTTTCCTGTTGGAGTATTTTAATGAAAATTCTACCTAGTATTTTATTTCACTCATAAATACTTCAATATGTACTTAACAGAGGGTGACTAAAAACCAAAACCATTATCACACAGTTTGTTAGTAATCTAATCCCCAGTTCATGTTAACTTTTTTCTTGATTGCCTCAATGAGATGATATATTCAGATAATGATCCAAACTTAGTCAGAACATTGATGATTAAGTCTCTTAAATCATTTCTAAAGTCTCTTTCAGTCTATAATTTAGAGAATTGTTTTCCATATTCATTGTTAAAATAAAAAACTAATTCAGCTCAGGAAAAGCATAAACACAGAAAAGCGCAAAACAATATTTACTTGCAGTCACACCATCAAAACATAAATACAAATAGCTTTCAGTGTATGTCCTCCTGTATTTTGAAATAAAATCTCTACATGGAAAAGTATTCTGGATCTAGTCTTAAAGCTTTTGTGACAGCATTGGAGTACAGACTGCAACATTGAGGGTGAGCTGACATGAGGGTGTGAAGGTGTTGAGACAGGGAGGCTTGTACCTGTAGGTGAGTTTTCTATTTGTTCACTGTTTGCCTCTGCGACATTCCATTGTTAATGTCTAAATGGCTGTGAACCCACCACATAACTACCAGGCGCGGTAGAAGTCCTCGGTGGAAACTTTCCATGCGATCATTTGCATGTTCACCTCTAAAGCACTTTAATAATATTATCAATTAAACATTGCTCTCTTGTGCTCTTTATGCTGTGCATTTGGACAGAGGTCAGAACTGCAGCAGGTAAGAGCGGTTGGCCTTTCATGCAGATAAAATGAAATGCCAATGGTTTTGTCCCGAGTGCTTAGTGTAGACAAATTCGCTTAACTGTAGTGAGCTGGAGGAAACACCAAATATGATATTCCTCTTCAAAATTCACTGAGGATGAGTGGTAAGGAATTCACACCAAGAGCCAAAGCAATACTTGTAAAACATTTCTGTCTGTGCCTGAAGACTCATTCATGTTTATCAGAGAGGAAAGCAATTCGATGTATACATGCTGTGGCTGTTTTCTGAGGTGGTTTAATGATTCTTTCATTTTTCACACTGTAGTTTAAATCACAAGTCTATTAAGCAGTGCTTTTTGCTTTTTCAAAGCCAGATGTACAAGTAACTGCAGTATTGGGAATTTCTTAAGCCTCTGAAGATAAAGGGTTTCTAAATTCATGTGGAAGGTTTATTTCATGGACAAAGACAAAGAAGATGACTTTTCAAGGGGTTGTGTAAACTGTTTTTGCACACTTTTTCTTCTGTGGACTTACAGGAATAAAAGTGAATTAGATGTTCTATTCAAATGACAATTTCATCTGTCATACAAGACTCGTGAATATAATTGTGTGATACCTGGGAAATGTACTGTGGCTTATATTTCCTCCCTGAAGTATTGATTTTTCAGAACACCCTTCAGGCTTTTCTGCTAAAATCTAAATCTGTGTATTATTTTAAATGTATATTTCTAGATAACAGTATAATTAAAATGTTCACTTTAAAGGATAATTTAAAAGTCAGGTTCTCCAAAGTTGTGAAAGGTTTGTCATTCTTCACAGAGTTAAACCATTACAAGGAACAGTAGCTCTAAAGTTAACATTTAATCTGGCTTCATTTCTTAAGTCCCCTTTTCCCCAAGAGTGACAGTCAGGCTTGACTGCCATTTGCACTCTTTGTCAGGTGGACTTTTGTGAACCAGCTGTTGTGAGTCTAACCTCTGTGATGGGAGTGGGCTTTGGGTTATCTAAATGTGTCCCTAGCTTTCTCTTATCCCTGCTTGGGCATCCAGCCTGTATGTGTGGACACCTGTTGAGAGGTGAGGCAGGACTTGGAGATTTCAGCATGATGCTTCCCTCTGGACTATGTAAAAATCAGCCCAGCTGCCAGACAGCTGCTTGTGGAGTCCTCTCTCTGAGCAGCGGCAGACTCTCTGCTCTCTGTGAAGATGGCTGGTCAGTTTTAGTCATTTGTCTCACAGCCAGCATATCCGCTTTGGATTTTAAACACAGATAGCTAACGTTAAATGTTTAATCACAAAAAGTGAAATACCTGTAGTCCACATGGCTGTAATCACTTATTAACCAGGATTTCCTGTCAAATTAGATCTGATTTCTCAACAAAAGATTCTCTAACAAAAAATGAATTTGAAGAGTATCAGAAAAGAGAAAAAAAAAAAAAACCAGATAGCTTTTGTTATGATATATGTATATATAATGTTTAATTGTTATTGTTGTTTTTAAGATCCAAGAAAACATTCTTGGCCAAAATCTAGGGGAAGTTACTGCCACTTTGTACTGTACAAAGAAAATAAAGACACCATGGATGCCATTAATGTCCTGTCCAAATATTTAAGGTTAGTATCTTGTTCTTGTAGCTCTACAGAATCAAAACACAGAAATTTACTTTCTTCTCTCCATGCTCATGAATAAGGAGTGAGAATATGGGAACACTGATTGACTGTCTTTCCTATTGCCCATGATTCAAGATGAAACTTCTTGAAGTAGTTGAGAGTTAGCAGTCCATCCAGCTGGAAATAAAAATGAACTTTCCAGCCTGAAAACCCAAACGTTGATGTGTTTACAGAGACACATCTCTGTTGGAAGGTCTTTATTTCTCAAGATTAACCATATTAAGAACTTAGAATCAGTCAGATTTTATCATAGGAATGTAAATACAATAGAGATGGGACCTCTGAGGTTGGCCCAGGTTCCAGAGATTTTTTTTATTTTTTTTTAAGAAATGGCTGTCTGGCCCTAAAGCAAACATGTATGCAATGCATATTCATGCTCTAATATATGCTTAACTCAAAAGATGGTACACAGTATATTCACTTGCTGTGGCTGCATAATAATGTTCATTCATTAAACAACAGGAATGACAATTCTCACAGTTCCAGAAGCTGAAAGTCCCAAGGTGAGGGTATTGACAGATTGGTTTTTTTCTGAGGGCTTTCTCTGGCTTACAGATAGTCACCTTGTCTTGTTTCCCATGGTGTGTTTACCTCTGGGGTCTCTTGTGTCCCCAAATTTCCTTTCTTAGAAGGACACCAGTCACACTGGATTAGTGCCCACCCTAAGGGTCTCATTTTAACTTGTCTTTTTAAAGGCTCAGTCTTCAGATAGTCATTTCCTGAGGTACTGGCAATGAGGCACCAGGGCTTTAATCTATGAATTTTTTTTTTTAAGATTTATTTTTTTAGAATTTATGTATACAAGAACTGGAGTACAGGCCAGAGGTACAGTGGTTGGGAGGATTCACCAGAGACAGAGTGGGGAGCAGAACAGGCAGATCCACTGAAATACACTGCTGAGGGGAGCAGAGGCAGGTGAGGAGAGGTCTGCTGAGCCATGTGGGTCACCTCCTGGGCTGGGGAATCGAACTTGAGTTACAGTGGGCAGTCTCGTAGTGTTGTGCTTTAAACCATTGCACCACAGGGGCCCATTTAATCGATGAATTTTAAGGAACTAAAATTCAGCTGATTGGACATAGTACCAGATTAAGCAACAATTTATTTTCCCCCAATTACTGGCTCCCTAGGAGAGAGTCATTGGTACTCTGTGCATTCCTGGAGCCCAGAAGAACAGGTCTAGGTGGATGGACAGTTGGTGGGAATTCCTCTGAGATCTGGCAATGGAGATTGCTCAGAGTCTGAGAAATCCTTCCTCATTTTTGTTCTCATTCATGCAGAACAGGTTTTATAAACTAAGTCAGTTAGCTTACGTATATGTTCCTATCTAAAGCATTGTGATCCTTGTCCTAGCATTTAGCTCTTTTACAGTAAGAGATAGACCATGTATTTGAGAAAAAAAATCACATTACTAACTTTTAGAAAATTAAAGAAACAAAAATGTCAACATGGTACCTTCCACCTTTAGAGTGCGTTTTTCTTTACCCTCAAACATTATAAGCTAGTGAATTGCATATGCTCAAAAGACAGTGCATGAGGCCTCTGTTAGGCTCTAAAATTTCTCATTCTGTCATTCGACTGTGATTTAAGTCTTTGTTTTGAGTGTTAGGTTATGCGAAAGGTGATTTCCTGATGGAATGTGACCTCAGATGGTTTTGTGTTTCTTTTAACAGAGTCAAGCCAAACATATTCTCCTACATGGGCACCAAAGACAAAAGGGCCATAACCGTGCAAGAGATCGCAGTTCTCAAGTAAGTGAGAGCACCCGCCGGCATTCACACTGTAGCGTCCTGGCGCCCCGTCAGAGTTCTCAGGTTGCCCGTTGGCAAATTTCCCTTTACCCAAAACATTCTTTTTCTATTTAACTCTTCTTGCTTATCTGTATTTTCTGATACATTAGTGTACTTTTTAAAGGATTTCAGTGGTGGGACAAGAAAAGAAGTGCTCCTTTTTTTCTCTTCATGCATTTTTAAATGTTATTTAAAAATTAATGAGAAAACAGGGAATGAGCACTTTCGTTTCACACTGGAGGTAGATAAGAAAGATCTCTGCTTTGAAGCAATTATAATTTAATGGAACAGATAGACAAATAAATTAAAATTTATCATAGAGGTGAGATAAATGCTAAAATAGAGATACACTGGGGGTGAGGGTAGACTTAACAAATCCAGAACTGGAGTGGGGGAGCAGGTAAAGCCAGGAAAGGCTTTTAGAAAATAGGCTACTGGAGTTTTAATCTGGACCCAGATTGCTTAGCCTCTCCACTATTAATTTTTGGGGTTCTTCCTTGTGGGGACTGTCCTGTGCATCATGGCACATTTAACAGCAGCCCTGGTCCTGCCCACCACATGTCAGTATTTCCACCCTCACCCACAGGGACAACAAAAACTCTTTACAGATATTGCCAAGTGTCCCCTGGGGGCAAAATTGCCCCTGACTGAGCAGGCTTATATTCTAGAAGGATGAGTAGGTATTTCCTGGTGCTGGTGAGGGTCTAGTTTCCTTTCTCCAAAGCAAGAAAAGAGCTTGTGAAAAAGACATTGAAGGGAACTGAGTAGCCTGACACATTTGATAGCTGGCAGGTACTTCAGTTTTGTGGGAAAATAACAAAAATAAGCCTTTGACGGCAGAGAGGACCCATGTCCTAAAGGTCCGTATCGGTCATGTTGAAGAACTTGGTCTTGACCATGATCTGAGCAGAAGGTTCTGTGTTGAAGCAGGTTTAGGAGTTGTGGGTAGGAGTAGGCAGATGGAGCTGGAGATCAGGGTGTTATTATTCTGGGGAGGGAGAATCAGTCACAGTGAAGGGAAGAGGGAAAGGATGAATTCACTAGCTATGTGACTTTCTTCTTAGTGTACTCCCAGAGGTAAGGAGTGATGGGAGGAAGAAATGAAGAGGCAGGAAAACACTTTGGGAGGACATGTGTATGGTTATTATCTTGAATGTGGTGACTGTCTCATGGTTCCATGTTAAAATGCAAGCATCTTGAATGTGTGCATATGTGTTAGCTGTACTACAATTTAAAGTAGTCTTTTATCAACACTTAAATACCTATATTTGCTTTTCATAAAGAATTTGAGGTGGTATTCCCCTTTACCAGACAGTAAACCTAAATCTGGCTTCTTTCCTACATTTTTTCTGATTCACTTGAAATAATTTTGAGGTTGAGCTTCGGGTTGCATCCTAATGGGTTTTCCAGTTTTTTCTTTCTTGACCTTGAGGTAATGTCATGGTGTTAGTGGTGAAGAGTAAAAGACTTCTCTCTATGACTTCGTACCAGTGAGTACAAATGTTGATATGTCTGAGAGGGAAGAAAAGGGAGTGCCTGAAGGGGAGTTCCCCTACCTACTGAGGGGCCTGTTTCTTTTCCTCACAGTAATACATGGAATGTGGCATTATCTTTGGAGAATGAAAGGGCAGGAATAGGGAAGGGGCCTTGAAAAGCATGTGATGATTTAGATAACCTCAGTGGGTAGTGGGCTTGTGGGCTTGCCAGAAAGTTCAGGGAAAACAGGGAGCAGCAATGGCATCCTCAAAAAAAATGGCACCTCATGACTTTGTTTTGCATTATATATGGTGATAGATATTGGAACATTCAGAGTGCAGTTATTTCTGTTTGTTCTTGGTCAGCCACCAGGTGTCATACTTGATCACATTGCTGCTCTGTCCTCATAAACTTCTGCCGCATTTATCATCTTCCTGTTACATTATTAAGAAACTACATTAGACACTTCGATGTTGGCCTTTGGAAAGCACATACACTTATCTGGCGGATGCAGGCTACACCCTTCTTTTGCTAAATGGACATAAAAGGCCAGGCAGGTTGGCCTTTCCCGTGAGAACTGGTGAACAGGATAAACCCACTCTGCCACTCAAGGACTTTCATTATTGCTGAATTGATCAGACGTTGCACTAGCAGCCTTTCTTTTTAACTTTATGTAACTCACGAGATCCACCTAGTAATTTTAGTAAGCTCTCAAGCAGGAACATTTAGAATGATTTGTTTCTTTTCCTGGCTCTTCCTTCCAGTCTCCTTTTTGGGCCAGGTCAGTATTTCCCTGACTTTGTTAATAAAGCTTTGTTGTAACATATGCTTAAGTTGGGGTCCTAATGTTAAAAAGTAAAATTTTGGTATTCTCAAGTTAGTCAGAGACTTTGCTGTGAATAAACCACAGCAACCAGAGGGCTTGATCCAGGGTCATCAGAATTAAAATACGAACAGTTGATAAAGATACCATCAACTTCATTCTCCTTGTTCCCAGGGATCCCCACCCCCCGGCCCCCATCCAAGATCTGAGTGTGGCTCTTGATTTCTGCCATGCCTGTAAGACTCAGAAATACTTGTATATGTTGTGTGTTCAAAAATAAACAATAGGATATTATCCAGCTATGAAAAGAAAAAGAATTAAGTACTGGTACATAGTGTAACATGGATGAATCTCAAAAATATAATGCTGAGGGCCATCTTGGGGGTGCAGCAGGTTAAATGACAGCACCAAGAAGCTGTCTGCAGCCACTGAAGCACCAGTTCGATCCCTGGCTGACTAGGGAGCTCACCCACATGGTGCAGCAGACCTCTCCTGACCCGCCCACTGCTCCCCTCATCAGTGTACTTCCTCAGTCTGCCTGTTCGGCTTCCCACTGTCTCTGGTGAATCCTCTCACCCCACACCTCTGGCCCACACCACAGCTCTTGTATGCATAAATTAATAAATCTTTTTTAAAAAGCACTCAGAAGACTATGTATGATTATATGAAATAACCTAAAAATCTCTATCTATAAGGAAACCTATAGGTTAGTGGTTGCCAAAGGCTGAAGGAGAGGGATGAGGGTGACTGCTTAATAGGTGTAGGGTTTCTTTTTGCATGAGGGGAATGTTTTCTATTAGATAATTGTGCCAATGAAAAGGATATACTAAAAAGCACTGAAGTGTACACTTTATAATGGTTAAAATGGTAAATTATATCTCAACAAAGAAAGAACAGAGCTGTGAGGTACTTGGTTATGAGAGAACAGTCTCTGGAATTATTCTCTGGGGCAGCCATGTTACATCTGATTACTTTTTTATCCTCCAGACAATTATCTTGTGCATTTCCCTAGCCATAGTTTAATACCACAAAGAGGTTCTATCTTCCTGTTCTTCGCGCAGTTCATTCTGAGCCTCTGTTTTCTGAATTGTTTAGGGTTTATTCCTGGGTAAATTCATGCCTTGTGTTCAGAAGTCAAGGGCCTTATGCCCTTAATTCTCCTGCACCTGCTTTTTTGAACAATTGGTTCAGGGCTGAACTAGTCCTAGACTCTGACTTGGACAGTGTTAAGTTCAGGGTTTGAACAGTGGATTGGGGTCGGGGTTTGTGGAGTAGAAACTCGGCACATTTCCCAATTTCTCTGACTGGCTTCCTATACTTTATATTTATTAATGGCACAATGACTTTTTTTTTCCTCAAGAAAAGGGTTTTTACTACTAAATTTGTTTTTTTTAACATATATTTCCTAATGAAGATGAAAATTTTATAATACCATAGAAAACATTTATATTAAGTGGTAGCAGGTTACAGATTTGTGAAGATTCTAGCTATCTCTATAGATCTTTATCTAATGTGTTTTAAGAAAGAATGGATGGGGGCCTCCCTGTGACACAGAGGTTAAAGACACATCGCTATCAAGCTATCACCAGCCATTGCAGCTTAAGTTTGATTCCCGGCCAGGGAACTGACCCACATGGCTCAGCAGACCTCACCTGTCTCATCCGCTGCTCCCCTCAGCAGTGTACTTCAGTGGATCTTCCTGTTCTGCTCCCCACTCTGTCTCTGGTGAATCCTCTCACCCCCTGTACCTCTGGCCTATATACATCGCAGTTCTTGTATGCATTTAATAAATAAACTTAAGAAAAAAAGAACGGGAGGAAATTCAAAGTTAGATGGTAACAGCTTTTTCAGATAATGAAACTGAGTTGGTTTTATTTTTTATGTCTGTATTTTTCCAGGTTTTCTGTGATGAATTGCTACATTTTTCTGAGAGGCCAAAATTTGACTTGTTCTTTTTTTTTTTTTTTTTTAAAGATTTATTTATTTATTCATACAGAACTGGGGTACAGGCCAGAGATGCGGAGGGTGAGAGGCTTCACCAGAGACAGAGTGGGGAGCAGAACAGGCAGATGATCAAAGTACACTGCTGAGGGGAGCAGCGGGCGGGTCAGGAGAGGTCTGCCGCGCCATGTGGATCTCCTCCAGGGCAGGCGGGGATCGAACTCATGTGGAAGTGGCTTAAGCTTCTTAGTGCAGTGCTTTAACCCGCTATGCCACCAGGGAGGGCCCTGACTTGTTCTTTTTATTTACTATTTTGCCCCACTGTATGGTCTTCGTCAAAATATCACTTACTCAGTTTAATCTAGGAACAAATAATATGTATTGCAAAGGGTGGTATGTAGAAAGCTGTTATATTGACTCATTCTTTTTATATAAAGCTTAATTGTGACTTAGTAGTCACGATAGTTGTCTGGGATTGTTTTCTGTTATCACCTTTCTTTTTTTTTTTAAAGATTTATTTTTTTGTATTTTTTATGCATACAAGCATTGGGGTACAGTCCAGAGGTGCTGGGTGGGTGAGAGGATTCACCGGGAGCAGAATAGGCAGATCCACCGAAATACACTTCTGAGGGCAGCAGTGGGCGGGTGAGGAGAGGTCTGCTGTGCCATGTGGGTCAGCTCCCTGGCTGGGAATCCAACTCATGCCTCAGTGGCTGGTGGTATTTGATAGCTCTGAGACTTGCTGTGCTCTGGGAGGCCCTGTTGTTACCTCCTTTCTCACTCTGATGCCTCCATGAGAAGTCAAAAGTTCCATGCATTGTTGTTATTAGTCCATATAGAAAAAACATGAATATACTCTAAAAATGTACGTCTGGGGTAGGAAGAGTATCAGTTATGCTGGAGGAACGACCAGAGGGATGTAGGAAGGGTGTACAGCCTACCTGCTTCAGGGCCTGTCTTTCCTGTCCAGGGGTAGCGATATTTCAGGCTGCCAGTGTTCTATAGTGAGGTATACTAGAGCATTTTATGATAGCAGGATTTCCTGATCATCTCTCTGCTCCTTTTTATTTTATATTTTTTAGAATAACTGCACAGAGACTCGCCCACTTGAACAAGTGTTTGATGAACTTTAAGCTTGGAAATTTCAGCTATCAGAAAAACCCTCTGAAATTGGGAGAGCTTCAAGGGAATCACTTCACTGTTGTTCTCAGGTAAAAAAAAAAAAATAGTAACGCAGGGGCGCTCCCTGGTGATGCAGCGGGTTAAAGTATAGCACTGTGAAACTATTACAGCCACTACAGCACGAGTTCAATCCCCAGCCAGGGAGGTGACACACGTGGTGTGGCTGATTTCACCTGACGTGCCTGCTGTTCCCCTCACAGTGTATTTCAGTTAGTCTGCCTGTTGTGCTCCCCACTCTGTCTCTGGTGAATCCTCTCACCTCCTGCACCTGGCCTGTACCCCAATTCTGTATGCATAAATAAATAAGTCTTTAATAAAAACAGGAATGCATGCAGAAGTGGGTCTTGCTGAGTCACTTGAAGTCTGTTTCTAATACTTGTTAATGCAGGTGAACTTACAGGTGTGACAGCAAATGATGATGGCAGAGTGGGGCCTGGTAGGGCAGGGAGAACAAACACTTCAGTAGTATTTGAGCTGACACCTCCACCTTTCTAAAAAAACAGCATTTCCTTTAGAAAGAAATTGTTTCCTTGAAATACTGTGCTAAGAGACAAAAAGTCTCTGATTGTTACTATGCAGGGCCTAACACAGGCATAAAAAGTATTATAGAGATAACCTGCAAGAATGGGAAGATGGAGAGGTAGAACTTTTTTTTTTTTTGCATATTTTTGTGCATTTTTCCATCTCAGAGTTAGAACTTTTTAATGTATGTAGAGTTTCAGTTTGGGAAGAGAAAGTTCTAGAAATGTGATGGTGAAGATTGCACATTTGTGAATATACTTACTACCACTCTTCCACATTCTTAATGGATAAAAGGGTAATTTTAATGTTACTATATATTTTCCCACAATATCGAGTCCTTAAAGATTTGAGTCCTCAGAAGGGAGAGAAAAGTTACAGGACTCAAGGGAAAGGCATGGAAAACAAGCTGTATGGTTTATGACATGCTCACCCCTGAGTATCTAACTCTAAATTTTATTCTATGGCTAATTTGCTTCCTTGCAGAAATATAACAGGAACTAACGATCAAGTACAGCAAGCCATGAACTCTCTCAAGGAGATTGGATTTATCAACTACTATGGAATGCAAAGGTTTGGAACTACAGCTGTTCCTACCTACCAAGTTGGAAGGTTTGTACTCTCTCTTCAGTTTCATCTAGAAATTCTCATTTTTTAAAATAGGGATTTTTGTTGGTACTGTTTGTAATTATTTCTAGAGTTCCTTATTTTTGAGCCATATGAACCACTGTGTCTCATCTACTAGATGATCACAACCTCATTTTGTTTTAAGATAAAACAAGCACGAGATTTAATAAAAAATCAATTTAGGGGCCTCCCTGGTGGCTCAGTGGTTAAAGTCTCAGCACCGTAAAGCTGTTGCCAGCTACTGCAACTTGAGTTCGATCCCCAGCCAGGGAGGTGACCCACATGGCACAGCAGACCTCTCCTGTCTAGCCCACTGCTCCCCTCAGCAGTGTATTTCAGTGGATCTGCCTGTTCTGCTCCCCACTCTGTCTCTGGTGAATCCTCTCACCTCCCACACATCTGGCCTGCTTGTGTGCATATGTGCACCACAGTGCTTATGTGCATAAATTAATAAAAATAAGTCTTTAAAAATAATAATAATTAAAAAACAATTTAAATCAGTTCAACAAGCTCTATCCTGAAAAGTAATTTTTTCTCCCACTAGATAGTTCATCTAGGGGTTCAATTTGTTTTTTCTGTTTTTAAAAATAGGTATACCTTAGCTCAGTTGTCAAGCAGTTATATAATTTAGACACAGAGCAGCCAGATGAAATGATGTATTTTATGATCTCTGTTAACAAGTGCTTCCCAGTTCATTAAACTTTGATTTGCCCTGCCCCCACCCGCCTTTAAGAAAATGGTGCATGTAGAACCTCATTAGGTAAAGTTTTTTAGAGATTTTTTATTTATTTATGCATACAAAATCTGGGGTGCAGGCCAGACGTGCAGGAGGTAAGAGGATTCACCAGAGAAAGAGTGGGGAGCAGAACAGGGGAACCTAATGAAATTTATTTCTCAAGGGAGTAATGGGTGAGTCAGGAGAGGTCTGCTTCTCTGTATGGGTCAGCTCCCTGGCTGGGGATCTAACTCATGCAGCAGTGGCTGCAGATATCTTCATATTACTGAGACTTTAATGCATGCACCACCAAGGAGCTCTCAGTCAGATAATTTTTTTTTTTTTTTTTTTCAAGAACTCTGTGTTCTGCTTTTAGGAAACAGGAAATCCCTCTCATGTAAACAAGAGTGGGACTCTTGGCTATGAATGCTTGGGTTCGCAGACCTGCCTGTGCTATCCAAATGTCCAGAGGAGACTAGTGCATTAAGTGATTATTCACCTGGGAGCTAGAATTGTGGAAGTTAGGAATTGGAAGTGATCTGAGAGATTATTTAGTTCTTGTTTCTTAGGTTTCAAATCCTTTGTTTTAGGGAAGATGAAATCGGGCCGTAGGGAGGTTTCCCAGATCACTAGCTGGCCAGCTGTAATCCTGGTAATAGGTTGACTTGTCATCTGTTGTTTTTGCAGCCAACTACATGAAGTTACATCTGTTTGGGTTTTTAAAAGCTTTGCAAAATGATAAAATTTGTCATGTGTTATTTCCCTGGCTTATTGGAGGCAATGTTGTAATGATTAAAGATTCAAGCATTGCAGTCAGACTTCAGTTCTAAGCCTCAGGTTACTTGTCTGTAAGATGGAAGTGATAGTCTCACCACACAGGTTGGTGAAAATGAAGTGAAATGATGTTTATGCAAACCTCTTTCTATTCCTAAAATATATAGTAAAGGCTCAAAAAATGGAAAAATAACATTTTAAATTACAGCATACAAACCAAAGGGGAAAACTGTTGCCTAGGAGAAAACTATAGTAACTGTTGATGGTGAAAAAATATTTTCAGTCTTGCCAGTGGTCAGAGAATTTTGATGAAGAGAGTAAAAGCGCAGGGCCCTCCCTGGTGGCATAGTGGGTTGAAGCATACTACGAAGCTGGCCACAGTTGCCTCAACGCGAGTTCAATACCCAGCCAGGCAAGTGGCCCACATGGCGCAGCAGACCTCTCCTGTTTCTCCTGCTGCTCCTTCAGCAGTGTACTTTGTCACTGCTTCCTCCTCTGGTGACTTCTCCAACCGTCCCTGCACCTCTGGCCTGTAGCCCAGTTCTGTATGCATAAATAAATAAATCTTAAAAAAACTTTAAAAAGTATTCAGTAGAAGTACAAATTATATTAGTGGACAGAATATTTAAGGGCAGGCCATATTTATCTTTGAAGTTACAATCAGTTTGGCAGAAGAATAACAGCTAGGTGACCCTCTAAATTTTACATTCCATAGATAATATAAATAGCTAATAAAAAATGGAATAAAATTTATCCAGGGAGAAAATTATGTAGTATGCCTTAAGGTCTTTAGACAGCCTACCAAAACCCTAAACTTAAACTGACAATTTCCACAGCCTAAGAATATTACCTAACTTCAAAGTTGCTCTTATCCTCATGGGACCTCCTGGAATGGGGGGCCCTGTGAGGTCACTTTGTAATTTAAAGATGGAAAAATGGCATGTATCCAAAATATGTAGAGAACTTAGAATTCAACAAAGTACAGATAACACAGTCTGAAAATGTGCAGAGAATCTGAATAAACATATCTCCAAAGAACATGAACAAATGACCATTTTTCTGAAAGGGGTCAGATAGTAAATAATAGGCTTCGGGGACCATAGAATGTTGCTGCATCTCAGCTGTACAAAAGCAGAGTGCAAAAGCAGCCAATGTGCAAATGAGTGAAGGTAGCTGTTTTCCAGTAAAGCTATTTACAGAATCAAGTGGCCAACCAGATAACAAAGGTTTTTGAGCTCAGAAGTGCTTTTCCATGGTATCTGGCAAACCATTGGCTAATTCTGAGTTAGTACAATAATCCTTTTGGAAGTGTTCTGCATGCCTATCCAACTAAATAAGTGTCACCAGGACACATTTAAAGACTTTTCCGACAATGGGGAATCTGTTCATGTAATTCGTTACAGTAATAAATTTAAAAAGCATACGATAACATGCATAGATACAAAACATTTTATATAGTTTAATACAAGAATATCCCATTTGATTAAATGTGAAAAACAAAATCCTAATTATTAGAAAAGCAAAAAAACTAATCGAAGAGATTTTATTCTTGCGCTAGGTCATACCTTTCTAACCCTGAATGCAATACCAGAAATCTTGTTTTTCAAAACCCCCACAATTTGAAAGCAGTTACTGTTTATTAACTGACTAAATTAAAAAACAATCAATGTAGACATCTTAGGTCATCCTTCCAGTAAGTTTGTTCATCTAAGACCAGAAACCTCAATGGGAAAAATTTTCAGGTATGATACGCAAAATACAGTGTCTGTGTGACAAGATTTATCAAAGTTGATGGGAAAATTGCATATATTTATAGATATATTTCAAGTCTTTAAAAATACATTCTGTGAAATAAGCCAGAAAGAAAAGGGAAAATACTGGATGGTTTCACTCATAGTAGGAGTATAAAGGACCAGGCGAGAAAATAATAATAATAATAATGAACAGTTATATACCAGAGACAATTTATGGGGGTGGAATGGTGGGGAATGGGATCAAAAACAGTGGGGGGAAGGAAATGCACTGGACTATGGTGATGGCACATGGGTGATTTGATGATGGGAAGCCCAAGGGGATTGCAACTGAGATGGAAAAATGCACAAAATGATGTACAAATAAACTGTTAATTTTTTTTACAAGCTTGATAATGTTGAAAATAAACTATTGCTGTGATTAAAAATAAAAAAGTAAAAATAAAAATACATTCTGTAATGTTAACAGTGTTTAATTTTTTAGAGAAGCAGGTATCCTTTTTTATGTACTGTTTAGCTTTTAAGTAACATGTGTAGCTTTTATAATTAGAAACTATTTTCATTTTAGCAAGAAGACTAGAGAAGGCCAAGTTGTATTTATTCTGTGTATTAAGCAAGAACTAGGCAAGAAGTACTTAACAGAGGAAGAACTATTTAGAGACATTTCAAATAAATTTGGGTACATAACTTTGATTTTTACAAGTAAAGTTATGTGTAACAATTATAAAAGCATGCTAGATCGTATTTATATAGCTATAATATCTTAAAACTGAGAAATGATATTTGTTAGGAATAAACGTTCTTAATTTTTTTCTCTTTGTAAAATTCTTTTGGCTTTTACATTTGAAACTTTTATCATCACATTAATTTTTTATTCTTGTTTTAGTAATGTTCAATAAAATATGCAAAGTTAGTAAAATTTGTTGATGCTATAAACTTGAGCATAGAAAATTCACCTCAAAATTCAGGTATCCTAAAGTGCACAATTAAGTAAAATAAGTGCTGCTTCATTTTAGAGCAATACTACAAAATTCTTGGGCTGAAGTCATGGACTTAATATTGAAACCCCGTTCTGGAGGTGAGAATAATTATAAGTTTGTGCGTGTGTGTGTATATATATATATATTTTTTTTTTAATGTATCATATCCTATTGTCAGCTCTTAGTTCATCTAGTTTAATAATTAACAAATACATGTTTCCTTTCTTAGTAGATCTACTAAATTTCTAAATATTATGTATGGTTCATTTGCACCATGTGATGTAATATAAAGATATGGCAAAACACAGTGTAGGTATTTAAAGAGTTTGTTTAAAATTTTCCAGAAAATATTTATAAAATCATACTATATGAAAAAGGATTTACATACTCCTTTACAAATTAGCCAATTAAGGGCCCTTGCTGGTGGTGCAACTGGCTAGGACGCAGCACTGCAAGCTGACCTCAGCCGCTTTGCTCAGGTTCAATTCCCAGCCCCGGAGGTGACCCACATGGCACAGCAGACCTCTCCTGACCCACCTGCTGCTCCCCTCAGCAGTGTCCTACCTGTCCTGCTCCCTATTCTATCTCCAGTGAATCCTTTCACTGCTCCTGCACATCTGGCCTGTACCCCAGTTCTGTATGCATAAAGAAAGAAATCTTCTGGGAATAAAAAAGTTAGCCAATTATGCCTTCTGTGAGTATTTATTAGTAAAAGAGATAACATCAGATTTTAAGGAAAATGACACATTAAATTTGACAATGCAGTAGAAGTAGAGAGAAAGAAGAAAGATTACCAAGGTTCTGTCTTAAATTGAGTCAGCTATGGCCATGAACAGTAATTGGCTTTAAGTTCTGGAGCTTTACACATGTTGACAGAAGTCATCTAGTCATCTGTAAACTTACCATGTGTGTCATCTTTTCTCTTTCGGATGGTTATTTTCATGTGAGCTGAGACACTCCATTGTACATATATTACTAGTAGTCTTTTCTAAGCTTGTTTTTTCTAAGGAACATTTACCTATGTACATCTGTTTATTAGATAAATTGTTTAATCACAGTTTTTTCCCTCTAGCCGAAAAGGGGTACTTGGTTAAATGCAGGGAAGAATGGGCGAAGACCAAGGACCCAGCTGCTGCCCTCAGAAAGCTACCTGTCAAAAGGTGTGTGGAAGGGCAGCTGCTTCGAGGACTTTCAAAATATGGAATGAAGAATATAGTCTCTGCATTTGGCATAGTGAGTGCGACTTGTGAAGTCAGGCAATGACTGGAGGTGGTTTAATGCTTTTTCGTTTTTATTTTTAGATATTTTACTAAATTTTGAAAGAACAGAAGGTAAATAAGTATCCTCTGATGATCCCTGAGAGGGGTACTTACCTGAGTGATCCTTATTCAGACCCTGAATGGTGATGGGGGAAGACGGTGGGCGTGGGTGGTATAGACCATAGTTACTAACATTGCTGGCTCGGGAAAAAAAACTTATCTGTAATGTGTTTCAGCAAGAGGCTTGCCCAATAAGGGGTCTGAATGGTTGCATTTCAGTCTGGTGTCTCTGGTGGTTCTAGAGTTTCCAGATCACTCTTGGCAAGTGTGATTAACTAATATTTTGGATATCCATAATCTATAGAGGAGCCTGAACCATAATCTATAGAAGAGCCTGAAGTTCATTTCGTAAACTTCAGTCTTATTTATTCTCCCTTCCTGTTCAAAAACAAGCAGATTTCTTGCTGCATGAAATTAGTTGTCCGTTCAATCATTTAGGTTTTCTCCTGCCACACAGTTATGGGGGAGAAAACACTGTAGCTCTATAATTAGTGTGTAAATTCCTTGGGAAGAAAGGCCCAGCCTTGACGCAGGGTATAAATTCCGTAGCATTGGCTCTGTTTGCTCGAACGTGTGCACCAGGAATACAAAATTAGAGCTGCTGCAGCTGCTGCCAGTTGTAAGGCCCCTGGAGTCACGGCACTTTCATCCCGAAAGCCGAGGCTGTGAAGCAGCCACTAAACAAGCAAGATGTCTCGGAAAACGCACTCCTTGTTATATTCAGAATTTTGTTCTTTACCTGTCTTTTTTCTCCTTCCCTCCAGATTCCACGAAATAATCGCTTGATGTATATTCATAGCTATCAAAGCTATGTGTGGAATAACATGGTGAGCAAGAGGATAGAAGAATATGGGCTGAAACCTGTTCCAGGGGACCTTGTCCTTAAAGGAGGTAAAAAGGCAGATGCCATTGTTACTCCCCAAATGAGGGTCAGTTCATGAACACTGGAGGCTTTAAAACCTAGCCTGGCTACTGTTAATAAAGGGTGATGTCTCGTAAGGCATTGTAAGTTCAGACTTACTAGTTTGGATTTCTGGCCTCAATCTCTGGTCTGAGTAAGTGTGTGACTCTCTGACCCGCAACTCTTTCAATGAGGGCAGGATTTGGGTGAAATGATGCCTAAAATCTCTCTGCGAGCTTTCGTCTGGTTTTAGCAAAGACTTCCCTGCCTTTCAAGATGCACTTTAACCTCACAGCTTTTGTTCCCCAGTTTTAAAGAGTTCAAATCAGTACCAGACTGGCCCCCTAATGTACTGTAAGGCAAATACATTCTCTGAGCCTAAAATATTTGTAAACAGGCAAACAATCAACAATCCCAATCTGCTGCTGAGTCCTTGCTTTGTGCCAGACCTTGTAGTTTTACTGTGAGGCATTCTCTCCATTCTTCTGATGAGATTCGCTTACCCAAAGCCCACAGCTGGTTAAAAAAAAAAGGCTGAGCTTCAGAAACAAGTCTGTCTGTTTCCAAAGTCCATGTTTTCCTGGTTTCCCCTGTTGTCCCCTGCACTGAAACAGTCTTCTTCTACGTGGGTGTACCTACCCGGTCCACAGAGGTTTTGACTTGTTCAGAAATTGTAATGTATTTTCTCATGTATTCTTCCCTCAACCCATATTGATTACACCTAGTGTTTAATTTCTCTTGTTCTTAGCACATTTCATCCTCTAAATACAGACTGGTTTTTCAGTAGTTTATTCTTTCAGCAAAATTCATTCATACATGAGAACTTTCCAAATAGCTTTTTGTAGTGTTATTTAAAAAGGAAAAAGGATCTGATTTTAAAAAGCAAGCCTTCCTGGACTGATGGGTTGTTTTCCAGAAGTGGAAGATTTTATCTATTCTTTCCTTTCTCTTCTCTCTCTTGCACACTAGTTGTACTAAACTTCTTTTACCTTGGGAAAAAAGGCAAAGTATTCCCTCAAAATGAGGGTGCAGCTGAGGCTTACATGATCTTTTAACTATCTCTATTTTTCTAAATCCTCCATTTTTTATTTCTTGGGCAGAATAGAAGAGACAGAAAGGTAACCAACTTAACTTTTTTAGGGTTCCTCAGCCACAGAACCTGTACCAACTTGCACTTCTGACTTCTTACCCGTGTGTAAATTTCGAAGTGGAGCTCATGAAGATGTTGCCTCTTAAGTTTTAATGTATTGTTTGTTCACTTGTGAATTTGCAGCCACAGCCACCTATATTGAGGAAGGCGATGTTAATGATTACTCCATCCATGATGTGGTGATGCCCTTGCCTGGTTTTGATGTTATCTATCCAAAACATAAAAGTAAGTTACCTGTATGAGGAAAACAGTTTACAAAAATCTAATTATGCCGCTCACCTCTGTGGGAATAGCATCATTACCTTAAGTATAATTTTTCAGCATGGATTTCCATCAAACTTGGAAAAATGTTTAGATTTCAAATACATAAACCATGTTTACTTGTAAAAGTTTCCAAAATGGGATATGTTCAGATAGATAATTTGAATTAATTGTATTAATTGGAAATTGGATGGTGGAGTTGGTAGTATTCGTAGTAGCGGTATTCGTTACTAGAATTGTTATTATTGCCATTATTTTTTCTAACTTCTGAAATTCGTTAATTCATATTAAGGCTAGAAAGGGATTGGAAAGAGTCAATGAGAAAGTGAACCAGTAAGTGTACTTTAAAAACTGACATTAATATCTGCTCGTGGTATTCTAAAAGTCTTTAAATTCAGAAGTTTCCAGAGTGAAAATGTAGAATTCCCTACCCAGAGGGTTAGGAATTATTTCTTTTACTTTAATAAATGCCACTGGGGGCTGGAGGTGGGGAGCAGAAGTAGAACTTTTTGTTGCTCAGGGATTCAGATATCGATTAATAAGAAAGGTCTCACCAACTTCATGGAACTAACCCTGGAAGTATATGCCTGTGTAGGATTGGTGTTTGGGTGGTGTTTCCTTGTTAAATTGTCTTTTCTCTCAAGAGCCCAGAATAACCTGACTTATTTTTTATCAGGATTTTGCAGAATGATTAGGATTAGCAACCTTTATTTATATATATATAATTTATTTTTACATCATTTTGTGCATTTTTCCATATCAGTTGTAATCCCCATGGACTTCCCAACACCTGATCACCCATGTGCTATCACCATAGTCCAGTGCATTTTCCCTTGCCCCATTGTTTTTGATCCCATTTCCCACTCCACCCCCATAAAATGTCTCTGGTATATAGCTGTTCGTTATTATTATTATTTTCTCGCCTGGTCTGTTATACTCCTGCTATGAGTGAAACCATCCAGTATTTTTCCTTTTCTTTCTGGTTTATTTCACTAAGCATGATCTTTTCCAACTCCATCCATATTGCTGCAAAAGGCATGTAAACAACCTTTTTTTATAACACAAATACTTATAAAAGTGAAATAAGAGTCCACCACTTTGGACCTCCCTGGTCAAGGGTTAAGTCTCAGCACTGTGAAGCTATTGCCATTCACTGAAACATGAGATTGATCCCTAGCTAAGGAGCTGATCCACATGGTAAAAAAGACCTCTCCCGTTTCCTTGCTGCTCCCCTCAGCAGTGTATTTCAGTTGATCTGTTTGTCCTACTCCCTACTCTGTGTCTGGTGAATTTTCTCACCCTGAACCTCTAGCCTACACCCTAGTTTTTGTATGTATGAATAAATTAAATTAAATCTTTTTTTTTTTTTTTTAAGATTTTATTTATTTGTGCATACAGAACTGGGGTACAGGCCAGAGGCTCAGGGGCGGCGAGAGGCTTCACCAGAGACAGAGTGGGGAGCAGAACAGGCAGATCGACGAAGTACACTGCTGAGGGGAGCAGCGGGCGGGTCAGGAGAGGTCTGGCTCGCCATGTGGTCACCTCCGGGGCAGGCGGGAATCGAACTCATGCGGAAGCGGCTTTAGATTCTCAGTGCGGTGCTTTAACCCGCTACGCCACCAGGGAGGGCCAAATTAAATCTTTTTTTAAAAAAAGAATCTGGACCCTCCCTGGTGGTGCAATGGGTTAAAACACAGCACTTGAAGCTGGCTGCAGCCTTGGGAGTTCAATCCCCTGTCAAGGAGCTGACCCACATGGCGCAGCAGACCTCTCCTGTCTTGCTCGCTGCTCCCCTCAACAGTGTAGTTGGTCAATCTGCCTGTTCTGCTCTCCACTCTCTCTCTCTGGTGAATCCTCTCACCACCCCTGCATCCCTGGCCTGTACCCCAATTCTATCTGCATAAATAAATGAAATCTTTTTTAAAAAAATAAATTATCCACCACTTAGATTGATTAATGTAATCAACTTGCTGTGCTCCAATACTTAAGGGAAGCTGATATCACTGAGGAAAACAGGAATAGAGAAGAGGGGTAAATGAGTAAGAGAGGTGGGCTGGCTGTCATGTGCAGAGAGCACAGCAGTGAGAACCCCAGAGAGCCATGCTAGGAACTAGCCAGAAGGAAGGCACTAGGATGCTCAAAGCCACACTTCCTTAGCCTTCCAAGTAAATAGGAACAACAATTCTGTTTCCTGATCCTTGTCCTCGTGATCAGGAACTTGAGTAAAGACCAATTCAGAAATATATTCGGCAGAGCCTTTGACAGCCATTCATAAAAACCTTGTGATCACAGTGGACGCACAGGTATTACAGCTCATCTATACAGTTAGTGTCCAGCCATCCTCTGTTTAGGGATTTCCACGGCTTTCATTAGTGTGTCATGTGGGAATGTTTCCTTGAGCCTGGTCTACCCAAGTTTTTTTGTCTTTTGCGTAGAACTGGTGTGTAGATCAGAAGTATGGGTAGCTGAGAGGATTCAGCAGAGATAGAGTGGGGAGCAGAACAGGTGGATCTACTAAAATACACTGCTGAGGGGAGCAGTGGGTGAGACAGAAAGAGGTCTGCTGTGTCATGTGTGCTAGCTAGCTCCCTGGCTGGGGATCAAAGTCTCTCTCTCTTTCTCTCTCTCACACACACACACACACACACACACACCTGTACCTTGGGCCTTCACTCCAGCTCTTCTATGTATTAAAAGGAAAAAACGACTTTATATTAAAATAAGTGTTTAGAAAATCGTAGGGGCATTTGACAGGGTTAAATGTAAGTTTTCACGTGTCTGTTCAGAGAGCAAGCATATAGATAGAAAAGACCCATTTTCACAGTAGTCTAAAAAAGTATCTGTACTTACCATAAGCCTATTACTATGAGACATATATACAGGGTGTGATTTGGAATATAGAAATGTCATAGGACACACAGTTGATATAAGGTAGATTGTTTGGCATAGAAAATACGACTTGAAGGTCCAGTACTAATGACTATCTGTGGAAGAGTGCATTTAATCTGCTGTGTTTCAAAGTGGTCACCAGAAGTTACAAGAAGTCAAATTTCAGCTTATAATAGGAAAAAGTTTGTACCAACTGCATGTCTCACAGAGAAGTGGCTTCTGTGAATGACAATGTTCAAGCCACAGCTCGGTGACTGTCTCTCGGATGTTATAAAAAAGATTCTACATCTGGGGGCCCTCCCTGGTGGCGCAGCGGGTTAAAGCACTGCACTAAGAAGCTTAAGCCACTTCCGCATGAGTTGATCCCTGCCTGCCGTGGAGGTGACCACATGGTGTGGCAGACCTCTCCTGACCCGCCCGCTGCTCCCCTCAGCAGTGTACCTCGTCGATTTGCCTGTTCTGTTCCCCGTTCTGTCTCTGGTGAATCCTCTCACCCTCCGCATGTACCCCAGTTCTGTATGAATAAATAAATAACTCTTTAAAAAAAAAAAAAGATTCTACATCAGGTGCGAGGGTGAGCCAGATGGTTTTCCCAGGTTTCTTATTTTTATGCATTTATTTATAACTACCTTCTTCCAGAAAGAGTTTGAGGCCTGCATATATGGTTTTTTCCTACTCTGAACACATAAATTGTAGGTTAGCAACCTCTGATGAAGTGGCCTCTTATAAGTAGCTTGGGAACCTTACACCCCAGATACTGTGACTTGTTGAAGAGCAGGCTTACAAGTTGGCCCAACATAAACTAGAGACACTTAATCCTGGTTAGTAAGCCACATTTTGATTCCAGAAAACAGGTTGGATCATATAAATTAGTGACTAATTTTTGTCCAGATAACCTAAATAGATTTGCCTATTACTCTCTTTACAGTCTAATTAAAGATAACTTGCTAGCATACTGCATTCCAACTCACTTTTTGTATTCTGTTAGTTAGTGAAGCCTACAGGGAAATGCTCACAGCAGATGATCTTGATATTGACAACATGAGACACAAAATTCGAGATTATTCCTTATCAGGAGCCTACCGGAAGATCATTATTCGTCCTCAGAATGTCAGCTGGTGAGTAATAGTCTGGAATAAAACAGAACCAAATTATGATGTAGGATTTTAAGCTTTTGCCTCACATAGATAATTTTCATGTTTAGACCCTGACATGGGAGTATTTCGTGTTAGTAATTATTATTATTACTATGACTATGACTGTTACCACTTATTATTTCTCAAATCATCAATAATAAATGAATACCAGAAAAAAAGAATACAAAAATAGTGAAAGTGGCTTAGTTTATGTTTTACTAACAGTACTGAATTCCTGAAGAATGTGCAGAAAATGAACTTTTCCCTACTATTTAGAAACTGACATTTGCCTACAGAGCTATCCCTCAGCAGATGTCCTTACTCAAAATTACCTGTGAATTCCAAACCCTCATGGGGTCATTTTAGTGCCTTGCTACAGAGAAAAAGATAACTTGTATTAACCCATTTTAAAATAATGTGATACTTAATGGCATTATCTAAAGCTTTCTTTGATTAAAAAAAAAAGTTAAATCCTGAACCCATTAGCAAGAAATTAATTCTCTTGCCCCTTTCTGTCTCTTCTCTCCACTCACTTCCCTCCTCTTCCCTGAATTGTAGGGAAGCTTGGCGAAGTTGGATTTTATGTTATCATCTTATCTGATCCTTCCTCCCTCCCCCCAGCAGTTCCTCGTGAGTGGCTAATTATGTAGGCTGCCATTATCTGGCCTCTTACTGTACAATTATATAACGATAGTACTTATATGTAAAATCCAGCCCTCTTTTGTCACTGTATAGTCCTACTTGAAATTATGTACAATAGACTTAAGTGTTTTCCTTGTTAAACAAATGGGAGCTAGTTAGTTCCTTTTATGAAAGTTTACATTTGCTTTTCTTTATATGTCTTGAAGGGAAGTTGTTGCATATGATGATCCTAAAATTCCACTCTTCAACACAGATGTGGACAATCTAGAAGGGAAACCACCACCAGTTTTTGCTTCTGGTGAGTTTAAACGGTCATCAGCTCCTTGTCAACTTTGAACTGTTTTCTTACGCAAACACATAAAAAAAAAAACCAACTCTATGTCACCACCATCTTCCACCCACGTCATATCTCTCTGTAGTGTTTTGTTGTTGTTTTAGTTTGATTGCAGCTGGACATCAGTAATTAAAACATTAAGTCCTACTGAAAACAAATGAACATTATAGGCTGCGATAGTACATCCTTCCTGGTGTTGCAGGGGTTAAAGACTCAGCACTGTGAAGCTGTCCACAGCCACTGCAGTAAGTGTTTTGTCCCTGGCCAGGGGGCTGAGCCCTATGCCCCAGCAAACATTGCCTGTCTCACCTGCTGCTCCCCTCAACAGTATATTTCAATGGATCTGCCTGTTCTGCTCCCCATTCTGTCTCTGGTGAATCCTCTCACCCTACACCTCTGGCCAGTACCTCAGTTCTTGTATGCATAAGTACATAAAGATAAATCTTTGGGGGAAAAAAAAAGTTTGTGTTATTAGGTGATTAGCATATTTGCTCCCCACCCCCCACAGGGTTTTCAAAGCTAGTAAAAATCCAGGAGGAGAATCAGAAGCTTTACATTTGAATTCTCACTGTCACATTCTTGTTGCCCTTCCTTTGTCTGTTTTCCCACCCTCTGATTTTCTTTTCATTTGATGTACATTTCTCTGTTGTGCTTTTCTGTAATCTGCTCTTTTTCTTTTTGAAAGTTCCCAGATAGAATTACCATAGAGACTCAGCTGGGTCAAACCCTCACAGATCTCTTACTTCCACATCACACTCTCTGAAGCCCTCAAGGGAGTGGAGACCAGCCGAAAGGAGCTTCTTTTATTTGTGTAGAGATGATAGACTTGCCCCAGTCTTGTCTGCAGCTGCTTTAGTTTTCTGACTGTTCTCTTCTTTCTTCTGGTAGAAGGCAAATACAGAGCTCTGAAGATGGATTTTTCTCTTCCTCCTTCTACCTACGCTACCATGGCCATTCGAGAAGTGCTAAAAATGGATACAAGCATCAAGAACCAGACCCAGCTGAATACCACCTGGCTGCGCTAAGTCCTCTGTCCACAGATAAGAAAAGGCAAAGTGTTTGCTGGCTTTGTGCTCATTTGACCAACACATGGATTTTGGATCTTCGTAGCAAAAGATTATTTGTATTTTTTCAAGTTTTTATTAGCTTAAATAATTCGCAGTGTTTGTACACATGTACAAACCTTGAGAATCCTAATTCTAGCTCAGAAAATATAAATTGGTCAGAATATATTTCAGGTGCTTAAATCATAGCAAAATGTCAGCTTGACTGGCTTTATAATTATAAAAAAAAGTTTTGGTTGAAAGTATCAATTTTAGGTTATGCTATATTCTTGAAAAAAACAGGAATTTTTAATGCATCCATGAATGGAACATAGCACCGTGCATTTTAAGAGAAAATGTTCCAAAGTAATCTGTGGGTAAACAAATAGAGCACACCCTCCTATGAATATATAAAACCTGTACTCTTGCTCATTTAAATGAAGATAAAACATCTAGAGGCTTATCAGCACAAACTTGATTATCATTATCTAGCTCATTATCTAGCTTACCAGGTTCAGGTAAGTGTTTCTAGATATCTAGTTGTAATAGCTTTTGCATTTATATTATCTTTGCCTAGCAAGAAATCCACATTGATAGGGTCTTTTATTCTTGATGTTAATATGTGTAGCTATTTTTACTAGCTAAGGTCTAATTTTTACTCTAGGTGCCTTTTATGTTCAAAAATCTTTCCACTGGACTGATAATTGCCCAAAAGTAAGTAAAAAAGTACAGAAGAAAACTTTCAGTATTTACAAGGGCTTCTCCCCTCAGCAGCATTAGTTTGCCACTGTTCGCTTAGGTAGTTTCCATCTCTGGCACGGCATAAAACTTTTTCTGGTGTGAAAGGATAAATATGCCTTTCCAAGGGTGTGTGACATAATTGTACCAGTTTTTATTTTTTATCATTTCTAGACCAAATACAATAAATATTTTCTAAAACTCCTATCCACTGATTATGTTAATAAATCAAACCAATTCTAAAACTGTGTGTTAATGAGATCTTGCCCTGACTGAAGGCAAGAAACTAAGTGAAGAAAGGATCCTCAGAAAACCTTGACACTGAAAAGTATGTCATGATCGGGTGTGAGATCTCGTGAGAATAATCCAAGAGCAGAGTGGTATGACCAGGCTGTTCTGAATGCAAGATTATTCTTCCAATGGTACCACTCACTTGCTTCTGTGTCTCTCTGGAGTGGAAAAGGAAAGAATGGAGAAAAGGTACCATACCAGGAATATGACACCACGGGAGAGCAGGTGACATTTGTCCTCAATCTGGCGATGGAAGTAGGATTGAGAACTGCTCTTCATCCTTGTCTTTTAATGATGTCTATCACACTGGGGAAGTTAGAAAAGATTAGAAATATCTTAGTTAGTTCACTTTGTAGCTGACAGATCTCTAAAGAAACCTTTGTCCCACAAAGGCTAAATTTATTAAATGAATGTGGTCTGCTGGTACCTTCCAGCATTAGCGGGTTGTTCTCCTTTATCACATTGATGGCAGGGAAAGTATATTGTAAAAGAATCTACTGCTTATTACAAGTGCGTCCAGTAGTTTTGCATATATAAATCTACATTTTTTTAAAAAGAGAGGCTAAATTTATATTCTCTTCCTCTGGGAATGTAGGTAGCTTGTTAATACATAATGAGTTCCTTTTCCTGCTTTAGCCAAATACCAGTTTGTACATGTCTCCTCTTCAACACCAGTGGGAAAGTACTGATTAATGGGGGGTTCTTAGAGTCATTTTGAGACTCTAGGCACTTGGTCAACTTATAATAAATCATTGCCTTAGCTTAGAAGTCAGGACATTTGGTTGTTCACAAAAAGGGAAGTTCCTCTTAGGTAAATTTGCACAGCCTGAAAGCAACTTCAGCCTTATCCTCAACTTAAACTTATCTTGTTACCTAAATTTTTGTCTAAAAGAACTAAGGGGCTGTTGTTTTTATTGTAATATAAAACCAGCACTACTTTCTGCTAAAAAAAAATGTAGCAAAATAATCAAACTTTCCCTGTCTTTTTTTTTATTCATGCTTTCATGTTGTTTATAATAACTAGACTATTATCCTAATAAAAATATGCCCTGGTTGATTCCTGAATCAACCCAAAAATTGGTAGCAGCTAAACATCAGTACTTTAAACTTCACCAGTTGTCCCAGGCAGTACTAATTAGCATAAACTGGTATTTGCAATGGAATGTATTTTATGGTCAGTTTTGCACAAAAAAATTAAGGGGGTATGTGTGAATAATACAAAGTTGTGTGATACAGAAATTCTTTTTGTACTAATGTGTATATATGCGGTATCTTGAAACATAAAAACAGGCCAGGGAGTGTAGGCCATATAATATGGAAAGAAGTGGAAGCACAATGGAAGAACTACAAAGCTGAAAGTCAGGTACTGACCTTCATAAATTGAAGGATTTGCTTACATAGCACGATACTTTAAGGTTTTTCTTTGTTCAGTGAAATATGCTTTCCCACTTTATGGGACAGCATTCCTGTAGGATAAAACATCTCAGTTTTGTATCATGACTCCATGAAAATTTTGAGGAAAAAAGTACGAACACTGTTTCCAGGAGAAGGGAGGAGGTGAGGAATAGCCCCAGTACAAGCAAATTACACTCCTGCTCTAAATAAGTACTTCCAAATTTTAATGTTCATGTGAATCATCTGGTGCTCTTCTCTTCTGAGAATGTATTTCAGGAAGTCCAGGTGGAATTGGAAATCCTGAGGGTCTAATACTCCAGAGAATACCTGTATTTCTGGCCAGCTCTGACACCCCATACAGCTGCTAGACACATGGGATTAAAATCTAAAGTCTACATGGTGCTATAGTTCCATATTGCCTATTTGTAAGTTGCAAGAAAATAGACCTATTCATTCTCATCACAAGAAGAAAAATTGTTTAATAAATTTTTTAATTGAAGTAACTGGTTTACAACACTACATGATACAGAGACAGAATCACACCATTCAGGTATATGTTTCCACACCCACCACCAAGGAACCCATTGTAAGAAAAAAAATGTGTGTAACTGTTTTAACAGATATTCACTAAACTTTTGATCATTTCCTGATATATACAAATAACATTATGGTATGTACCTGAAACTAGAATGTTATATGTCAGGTTATAGCTCAGGGGAAAATAGGGGGTAAATTTTTTTTTTTTAATTTTATAAGTTTATTTTTACATATTTTTGTGCATTTTTCCATCTCAGTTGCAATCCCCTTGGGTTTCCCATCACCAAATCACCTATGTGCCATCACCATAGTCCAGTGCATTTCCTTCCTTGGGGTAAATTCTATTCTAGCCATGTAGAAATTGCTCTATAACCATGTATGTGACCAGTGGCTCCTGTATTGAACTGTGCTGCTCTAGGTGACAGATCAGTCACCTGAGATAGTGGAGTCTACTTTGATCAAATGTGACACCCAGTGATGCCGATGATCAAAGACAATTCTAATACATGTTGGATCTGTGTGAGTGGGGTTGTGTTGCAGTTACATGCCAGTGCAATCCAGAGGTTTAGTCAAACTCTTAAAGCTCTGTGACCATCTTGCTGTATATGGGAAGTTTATCCCCCAGCGTTAACTACTGTCATTAAATCTTTCCTTCTCTTCTGGCATGTGCTATAGCTTCTTACGAAAGCAGCAGCTGTAAAAGGCAAGAATGGTTAAGAGACTCTGTGTGATGTTGTTGTCTTATGGGAGTACAGTATTATCTTTGTTTCAACTATTCCACCAGTGCTCAAGACTCCTAGAAAGGGGGTAAAAAAAAAGATGGTAACAGGGTACAGTGGGAGAGTTAGTGAATATTTCCTGTTCCGTCAAAAACTAGATTTTTCTCTAGAGCAGCTCAATCCAATACTGAACCACATATGTTGTCTGAAATTTTCTAGAACCATCTTATATCAATAAAAATAAACAGGTAACATGAGTTTTTTTTTTAACATTTTTTAAAAAGATTTTATTTGTTCATACAGAACTGGGGTACAATCCAGAGGTGCAGGGGCAGTGAGAGGCTTCACCAAAGACAGAGTGGGGAGCAGAACAGGCAGATCGATGAAGTACACTGCTGAGGGGAGCAGCGGGCAGGTCAGTAGAGTTCTGCCGCACCATGTGGATCACCTCTGGGGCCGGGGTTCAAACTTGCACTAAAGTGGCTGTGGCCAGCTTGCAGTGCTGCATCCTAACCCATTGCAAAAATTTTAAAAATTTTCTAAATCAATATACCTAAAATAAGTATTCAATTTGTAATTAAAATAAGTTAATATATTTTAATCTGTAAATATTAAGTAAAGTACTTTTTCAATACTAAGTCTTTAAAACCCAGTGTGTATGTTACATTTCTAACACATCTCTATTTGAACTAACCACATTGCCAGTGATCAGTAACTACTTATGGTTAATGGCTACCACACTGGACAGTGAAGTTGTAGAAAGGCCAGTTATTTATTGTATGTTATGTCACTGGTATAATGGTAAGTTTGTCCTAAGTATTAAGGTTTAACTTACAAAATTAGGAATGTATAGATTGGGCTTAAGTCTAGTTGAATATGGCTTTGAAATTCTTAAGAGATTATTAAATTAAGTATTATGGTGATTGGCAGTAAGCATTTTTGCTCTATGAGTTCATATGAGTGTTAATAGATTGTGAGGTATTTCAAGATGCTTGACGATTTCCTTAAGCAGTTTGGATGGCATCCTGCAATTTTCTCTCTAATTGCAAAGCTCATCCTAGTCGGCCTCTGTTTAGATTAAAATTTCAAATTCATGGACTATAAATTGAGGGTTCAGAGATGAGAATGAGGCTGCAGAGAGAAATAAAAGGAAGGTGTGTGAATGGTTAGCACATAAAGCTGGATCCCGGGTTGTGTGGGAGAATAAGGCACTTGAGGGAAGGCTGTAACATTTTTCTGGAGACAGAATTCCCATACCATGGTCTCATCAAAAACGAGCCACTCAGCATCTCCCCGTGGCACAAGGGGTAAGTCTTAGTACAGTGAAGCCATTGAGTTCAATCCCTGGCCAGGAAGCTGACCCACATGGCCCCGCAGACCTCTCCTGACCCGCCCGCTGCTTCCCACAGCACTGTATTTCAGTAGACCTGCCTGCTCTGCGCCCCACTCTGACTCTGGTGACTTATCTCACATACCCCACCTCTGGCCTGTACCCAGATCTTGTATGCATAAGTAAATAAAAAAATTGTTATTCAAAGGTGTTTTTTTTTTTTTGGTTCAATTTTTTCATTTTATTT